CCACTTTTACTAGAGTATTTTTTAACACAAGTATCTGTAGTTTTACTCAAGTACGGAAAGTGAGTACTTTTGCCATCTCTGCATATGGAAGAAAGAACAAAGGACGGGCTAATCAGCTGAAAGGGAGCAGGTGTGGGTAGAAGCGACTAGAAGGGAAGTTATGGGAAAGAAGACTGCCACAAGGGGGCAACAGAGAGTAACTCAGAAAATACAACACCGCCTAAATATAACTAGAAAAAAATTAGAATGACACAAAATGGAAAAGAAACCAATGACCAAGAAAAGACAGAAGGACATAAGTCAAAGTGTAACTGAAAACTCCAAAAGAAACTTAAACAGAAATCTACAGTATAAAGAGCAGAATCATGAAAGAACTGCAGTAGAAGACATTATCTCAATGATGTGACTCGTAGGTTCTTATATCCTGTAGATCACTTTCTGCAGGCTTGGCCACCCTCTTTTTTCCTTAAGTTGTCCACTTTTCTCAAGTTTGATGTTTTGTTTATTTATCTATTTTTTTGCTACATATAGACTTTTATGCAACTGATCTAAAATGATGCATACTTTGGAAGTCTTTTGCCTTTGAAGACAATTCCCCCTTGATTTTTATAAATATCGTATTTTCTGTTTCCAGCAAACACTCTATGCACATTGAGATCTACTGCCAGTGAAAAAGTTAAAAAGTTAACTGTGCTGTCTTGGAGTTTATGCTGAGGCACACAAATATACAGATATTTGAGCTATTTTATCAGTTTATTAAAAAAAGTGAGATGCACTGATCAATGCTTCTTGTAATTATCGGTTCTTCTAGTAAAGATGTGTAAAAAAAATCGGAATTATTTCATTTTTTACAACAGTATAAAAATAATACCTCAAATAAGGGATACATAAAATGTTTTGAAGTACATGTATTTAATAATAGCGCAAAAACATGAGGCAATAATTGTAAAACTTCAGTGGTGGCACAGCTGGCTTTTTATAGACAAACATCACTGTCTTTTCCATGCCCTCTGTTCAAATCACCACAAATAATTTCTATAGTTTTAGGATCTGAGGATTGTCATATAGAAAAACGTCTTGAAGCCAGCTAATAATTTCTGTGCTTGAAATCTACTAGCATACATGAGTCATGCGCCTTGATAGGATTTGGGCCTTTGGTTGAGAAAAAAGCCCATAGCATCACATTTCCACCACCATACTTAAAAGTGGGGAGAAGGTTTCTTTCCTCATATAATGATTCAATTCATGCCCCATACTGGCATGTAGATGGTGACAGATTGTTTACATGCATGCTAGGTGTGAAAGTCCAGGACAGAATGCAAGCAAATGTCTACTGGTACAACATGTTCATCCAGGAGGAGCGAATCCCTCAATGACTTTATGCAATTAGTGGGGTTTCTTTAGATAGGTACCTTAAAACCAGTCTGATGCTATCACTCATTTGAAATGACTCTATAAATTAAGGTGAGATAATATATGTTGTATATAAATAACCTGAATTAAATAAAATTAAATTGAAATGAAACTAAACTGTTTACTGCTATGGAAAGACTGTGCTGCACTTCTTACCACACAGTCATCTCACCTTAGCGGTGACGTGATAAATATTGTTAGACTAGCAGCGTGGCCTAAAGCCAAGAGGTTTCCAAGTCAAAAAGCCATTACTGAAAAAACTTCACATTTAGAAAAGCGGTTAGATTTAGTTACATGTTTGTAATAAAGGAATTATTAGTGGTTCAAATAATTATGCCATTGCTGTTTATGTTAAAAAAGGAAACATTTAATAACATGGATTTAATTAACAATGTTATAACGTGTTTCTTTTGTAATCAAACACATTTTATGATTGGTTTTAGGTGGAGGTGGAAATATCAAAACTCTTGATGATTCGTACCAGTTCACAGTCGACGTGCAAGACTTCTCCCCAGAGGATGTCATCGTAACAACGTCCAACAACCAGATAGAAGTCCGTGCAGAAAAGGTGAACGGTGGTTTGGGACTACAGCACGAGAGACGGAAGATCCTCAAACAGAATCATTCATTCTCTCCTCTCTCTTTCTGCAGTTGGCCCAGGATGGTTCAGTGATGAACACTTTCACCCACAAGTGCCAACTTCCTGAGGATGTAGACCCCACCTCGGTGACATCATCCCTGGGCCCTGAGGGCACCTTGACAGTCCGGGCGCGCAGACAGCCGGCCAAACATGAGCTCGTACAGACCTTTCGCACCGAAATCAAAATCTAGAGATGGACCCACTTCCTCAGCATAAACCCATCACTTTTGGGGTTTTAAACCTTTTTTTTAAAGCTTCCCTAATGAAGCTTTATCTAAGTCCCACGATGGATGAGGATATGATCTGTCCTACATAGTCATACCAGTTAAATAACCTGTTTAGATACAATGGTCCTTGTATTACTCTTTTCATTGCATAATATTTGCCTTTTGTTCCGATTGCAGAGGAAGACATGATTCCATGAAAATAAACCCTGTCGCAGACACAATTTAATCCTCGGATAAACCAGGCTGCCATGGATGTGTTAGAGCACGTCCAAACACTGTGCTATAAGGAAGCTGCAGCTTTTACTCACTACATTAACAGCACATGTACAGTCCAGCTGCAGAGGGAAACTCATGGTTATTTCAGCAACTAGTTCTCTGACCTCTTGGGGGTCCTTATTGAGCATTAGGAAAGGATTCATTCCTGGATAAGTTGAGCTTTAAATTTAAACAACCAAAAAATAAAGAAAATGATGCTATAACAAAAAAAAAGAAAAAAAAGAAAATCATCCTCACTCAGAAGAACATTGTGAATTCCACAGCTTTAATCCCAATAAAAATGCTCTATCTATCGATGCACTTTAAAATTCTTCAAGGATGTGACCGAACTTGATGTTTGATAAAGCAGAATTAATTTATTTTGTTCTGACCCATGCAACACACATCCTCAGTACACCAGCATAAAAGGCAAGGTAAAGATTGCGACAGCAGCTCAGCTTTTAAATCAATCCCTCTATTTCCTAATCTGTTTTTTTTCATCAGTACTAATTTATTGTATTTAATTCTATGATTAAACTTGCATTAAACATGACTGCAATAAATAATTTTCTTTGAGACTCTTACAAAACACCTCTAATAGGATTTTTTTTTTCTTCAGAGTGAACTCCAAAGAAAATAATCTTACCCAGTTTTTACTTCATGTTCTCTTTATGAGCAGCAAGGAATAACAAGCAGCATTTAACATAAATAATGATCCTTTTTGGACATTTGAGGATATATTTATCAACATATAGTAATTTAAACTCATGAATTTAAATCAGGATGCAGACAGTGGATGGTTATTATCAACAGCACATGATCCACTGTTGGTCACAAAACCTTAAAACAAAAACTGTGTATGAACATTGAGCATCACTACGTCAGTTCAGTTCTTTGGACTGTCTGAGCAAAACCAAAGCATCTGAATGATGTGCAAATGGTACTTAAAAGGCCAGATATTTTCTAATTGAATGCCAAGCTGAGAAATTAATAAATTCTCATTACATATAAGGGGCTTCTTTTCAGCTTTTGTGAACATTTTATATTTAGTGCTGTTCTCAGCTTTGTGACAAACGTGAAAAAACTATTCAAGGTTAAAGTTTCAAAAAGAAACTTGTTGTATAGCACACTCCACACGTTTCCACCTACAATTGATTTGTGTAAAGAACCCTTCAAATAAACATATGTTTTTGTAAAGTAGCATAATCTAACACAGACTTATTGGGAAAAATATGGCCACAAGTTTATATGTGTTTATAAAGTTTGGTTAGGAGCACAGCTATACGTGTTAAATTGATCAGTGTCAGTCAACCTTAACGAGGAATGCATGGCTCACTTTTCCCATGAGGTATAAAAATTATGCAACACAAAGGCCAGTTTCATTAACAGTCTTCAGAAAGGGCAATAAAAGAGAAGATAACAAGTAAGTTACTCTGAAGTGCTGCAAGAACAAATACTTCTGTCTAAATTTGTCGACATCAAAATACAAGCAATGTTTAATTAAGTATGATAAACAAGCTTGAACAAAGACCACTGAACAGGCAGGTGAATGAAAAGGGGAAAACTTATTTTTTCTAAGTTAACACTGAAAGAAAAGAAGAAATAATTCTGTGGCTTTTTTTACTCTTCTTTACCAGATAATTAATTCTTTTTTTTTTTTTTTTTTATCCTGCACGCATCGGTGCATTTCTCTGCGTTGGATTAACTATTTATCTCTTGTTTTGGCACCTTGACATTCATTTGAGAAGATTAGCTTTTTTTATATGTATACGCTGTTGCAAAAGAATCAATCAACTAAATTTGCCAAGATTTGTTCCCTCAAGATTCTAATTTTTTTTGTAGCTCAGCCCTAATATTTGCCTTTGTGTGATGTCATTATCATTTATATTTGTTGTAATTTTGCTGCCTAATGACAAAACATATGAAAAAATGTATTTTAAAGTCAGCTCTGTGCAAAAGAAAAGGCCTGACACAAACTATGAGGTGTGAGTCATCATTCATTACTACATGGGTTTTGACAAATAAGTATCTTTATCAAATTGCATTGTATTGTTTGTAGTTTTTTAAATATTCTTAGCTGGAGAACGTATGCATTTGTGACAGCCCGCTGGTAACAAATTTCCTACAAAAAATTGTAATTTGATTAGTTTGTTATTTGTGGATTAAAAGGTGCATCATCTCTTAGATTTAACAGGCTTTTTGATTCATTTGATTGATTCGTATGGCTTTTTAAAAGCAGGGCCATTTTATTTGTGTGCACATTTGTGGGTTCACAGCTTTATAATGTAATAAAACACAGGATTTATGTACAAGGATTTCACCAACAATCATTTCGCACGTTTGAAACCGGGTATTTTGCGCCATCTGGTGGTGATTGTTCGCCTAACAGGTGCTCCTACTGCGCATGCTCGCCGGGCGCATCCGGCTGGTCCCTATCAATCGATCAGAGAGAGGAAGATGGCGGCGGATGCAGTAAGCGGTGGAGGATCGATCCCCGAAACACTCGATTGGGTTTGTTTTTTTCTCTTCGGTTAGAAAATACACCGTACGGCGCAATTTCACTCACTGGAATCGAAACTAGGAATTGGCAAGAAACAGGTAATTACAAAGATTATAATTCTTGTAAAAATGGCGCTGAATGAGGGAGTAGAAGCGACGTTAGCCGTCAAAAACAACAGCAGAGCCGAGCTAGCTAGCTCCCACTCTGTGGGACGACATCTTGTTCTTTCTCAGCGCGGCTCGCATGAAGGCAGGCTAAATTAATCCCTGATAGCAAAGCTGCAAGGATGGAGGAATTGTAATCGATGCGTTGCACCGTCAAACCTGAGCCGTTTTCTCCCAAATATTATGCTAATTTCTAAATTTCAACATTGGCTACATGGTTGTAAATAAAGTTAGTTTTTCTACATGCTTTCATCTTTTAACGCCTATGTTACAGTGTGTTTTTGCTGGCTATAATGTACATTTTTATATGAGTTAAAACTGTTATCATCGCGAAAGCCCAAAGTATATTCTAAATGGATTTCTAAAGGGTGTTCAGATTCACAATAATCCAGTTTTCCTACTTCACCTGCTGTCTAAATGATCCTTTATGTAAAATTCCCAAATATAGGCACTGTTGCCAGAAAGATCTCCATAATATTAGCTGGAAAATCTAATATTGAATAGTTAAATATCAGATCTGTAAAATTATGTTTTTAAAGCAAGGCTTTTTGTCTAAAATACATTTAAAAATGAATCCATGATCATGACTGCTGCAGTTTTCAAAAAGCTGATAATCTTGGGTTAAGGTATACCGATATAGTTCATGTTGAAACCTGGGAAAAGTTGCCACCCAGAAAAACAAAAAACTGTTAAATATATATAAAATTTATTTTCCTATGGTCACATAAATTATATAATAGGAAACAACAATATTGAGCCAAATAGCAAACTTCCTGAGTGCTTCTTACAGTATTATGACTCCAGTATTGTGGTTTTTTACGGGATTAAAGTAGTTTGTGCACTCTATTACCACAAAAATCTTCTCCATAACATCAAACTTTCTGCTTTTTACATTCATTTTTGCTAAAAAAAAAAAAAAAAATTTGTAATATGGAACCCAGAATATAAAGAACAAACAAATACATGTACTCTGGAAATGGTAATTAAGTTATACATTTATTTGAAAAAATAAAAATAAATAAATAATAAATAAAGTAATTCCCAGTAATAGGTATGGCCTGTTTGCCTATTCTGGGTGGAAAATCTCCTCAAAGCTTTTTAAAACAACAGTTAATTTTGATTCTTGGTTTTAACAATCAAGATGCTGAGTTATTTGGAACAGAATCAGTTCATATCTGCTGTTTGTAAAATACATTCAGCTGATAAGAAGGATTCTAGAAATACTTTGATTTTAACAAGTCCACGGAAATCTTTTCTCTCATAGGCTCAGTACTTTTACAGAAGAATCTGTTTGACATTTTATTTTTAGATAAGCAAACAACCACACATCTCTTATACCAAATGCATGATGGAGACTTTACGATCACACATCCTTGATATTACACTTGTTGATATGTTGTATAAGGACATTTATTTTGGATTAAATTAAATACAACAAATAAATACCTCTCTTTGATCTTGTTTTTTTTTTTTTTTTTTTTTTTTTTTTTTTTTTTTTTTTTTTTTTTTTTTTTGTTGTTTTTTCTAAACAGGTTACACCTTTACCCCCAGGAGGTTAAACAGAGAAATTGAAGTTAATTAAAATGTATTTTTTTCTGTGTCTGGCCTAGCATATTTCTTATACTGATTGGTAGGATAGCATCTGTGGATAAGTTTATAAGTCACCTTATAGACAGACTAGACTGCTTTAGAGAAAACGTCCCGCCCCTCAGAGTTAAATATCTCTGCAGTCATTGGTTCAGCCTTTCATCATCTTGGTTCATCTTCTTTTATAACTGAGTAATTGTGATAGCTAAGTTAATTACATTTGGCTTAATTGGTGTGCTAGTTATTGATGAAAGAATACAGTCCTTTATAGCAAAACCATACCACTTATTGATATTTAAATATATACCAGAGGCTTTAGAAAATGTCTGGATATTATAAAGCACTGGTTTGCTATATTTTTATCTCGAGAAATAGGGAACCCATGTCTGATGCCTCACTGTAACTTAAATCTTGCAAAAGCTTCCGGTTTTAACTTAATAGCGTAGTTTTCATTAGCATAAAGAGTTTAAATGGCCTGAATAAAGATGGGACCAAAACCAAATGATTTGTTCCAAATTTTCATTTGTGTATGGTGTTATGGTTGGAGCGACTATTTTCTAATCTAAAGAAGTGTGCATCCATCTTTTTTTAGATCCAATGAAAGCCTCTCTGCTCTACCATTGTACTTTTCATCCAAACTTTTAATAAGTCAAGTTTCTCCTGATCAGACATGGGAGATTATGGTATCTTCTTTCAGTCTTTTTTTTTTTTTCCTTCATATGTCTTACTGCACTTTCTTAAGTATTTTCCAATTTAAAACTACAGAAGTCCAGGGTCTTTCTCCATGGATTTTGATGTTCTCCCTGAGCATGCGTGGGTTCTCTCCGGGTACCCCAGCTTCCTCCCACAGTCCAAAAACATGACTGTTAGGTTAATTGGCTTCTCTAAATTCTCCTTAGGTGTGAGTGTGTGTATGCATGGTTGTTTGTCCTGTTTGACTCTGTGATGTCCTGCAATGGACTTGCGAGCTGTCCAGGGTGTACCCCGCTTCTTGCCCATAGACAGCTGATGCACCAGCAACCCTCGCGACCCCGCTTGGGATAAGTCTGATGGAAAATTTATGGAAGGAATCGATATTTATTGTTTGTTGTGAAGAATGATTATTTTACATGCATGTTTAATAGCTTGAATTATCGCTTTCCTTTAAAATGGTGAAGAAATTCAACGTTTTTGAATGCAGTGTATGTTATTCATAATTTTTATGATGAATCTTCATCTAGAAAAAAAATGATTAATCAGATTTGGTAAGAAGAAGTGGAAGATTTAATTTTAAAGCCATTTAGCTAGCCCTAGTTTCTGTCG